AGGTAAAGTGACATGGATATTTAGCCAAAAATCTAAGCAATTTTTAGCGCTTTCTCTTTGCAAATTGACAACTGGTACGTCCATACGATAGCAAATAAATGCCTCATGACACCCGACCCTTATCTCCCACTTATCGACAGGATGCGCATTTCCTTCTGTAAACCGAAGTGTTGGATTAACTAGACGATATTTTAAGGAGCTCTTCCTGTTGGTCTTCATTTAAAATGGGATACTCCATGATTTGATTTTAGTTAGGAATGACTTGATGAAAACTCACCGCCATTGCATTCATGGGATGTCCATTGATCGAAGCAGCATTCTGCGACTGCGCTGCTGTTCCCAGAGGAGAAGCTGGAGAGGTAACAACTGGCATTGACGATCCTGACATCTGTAAAGCTGATGCAGCGGCCATTGCAGCAGCTTGGCTTTGTTGTTCTTGTAGAAAGCAAAGATTGTAGGCAAAAGCTGCAGCGGTGGCAATCGCATTGTACCCTTGTGTGGTTTGCAAAGGTTGTGGGTAGGTAGTTGCTATATTCAAACCTGCTGAATCGTATCCTGGTGCTGTTGCACCGATTAAAGTCTGCTGCGCTGTTGGCAATCCAATTGGAGTGGAATAGGCAGGAGGAAGTCGCGGAGGGAAGGAAGTAAGAGCACTAGCTGCACCAGGGTAAGATGCTCCCAAGGCAGTTGCATAGTCATAAGGAACAACGCTGGAGGTAGGCAATGCAGGTTGGGCACACGAAGACAGACTTGCTGCGTCTGTTTGAGCTAACATGCCACCTGAATTTTTAGAACGTCAAATTTGTTGACTTGTAACAGCATTATTAATTCGTTTTAGGCATTATGACAACGAGAAAATAAAGCCAGAGTTTTGTCATTGCAATAAGTACTTAATTTTCCAGAAGCAAGAAATGTCCCCAGTGGTTTAATTATTTCCATTCGAAAAAGAAAAGGAGAGAACGACAAAGTAAGAAATGAAGTAATATCGAAGGGTACAGCATTCCATCGAATCGAGCGCTCATCTTAAGGCGAATGAAGCCGTGTAACCGCTGTCCGAGAGCGTCTCATCACAGTTATGCTGCCCACCGATTTCAGCAGGGAAACGACAGAGAAGTAAAAGACAGCAACCAACTTAAATTCGACTAAACAGAATTGCTTGCATTTATGGTGGGAACTTTTTAAAAGGGACAAAGAAGTACTTTGTGTTGGGTAAGTAGTTCTGTAATTCACAGAAGTTTAATTTGAATAAAGGTAACTGAGCTCTGAGATCCTGTCAGGAGGCCCGTTCGGGACAATGCGCAATGCACGATGGCATCGAGGGCTTGTATTCAAAAACAAACTTGCTCATCGTGGTTGGGAAAACTAGTCCTACTGTAATATTATCAAGGAAAAGCATGTGTGCATTCGCACATCCATATGCGCGAACAGTACAAACTGAATAAGAGGCGCTACTACAGCACGACCAGGAAATATGGTACGATGTGAACGTTAAACAGAATTTACCACCAAAAGTATTGTTAGGAGTAAGCAGATTTTGCCGAAATAGAGTATCATATTATCTCAAGCAATCCTGTCTTCTACTCCCATCGTTATGTCTTTTCCGATTAAAACATAAAGGAAACTTGTAGACGTCTAAACCAACTTCAGTTATGATGATCACATCATCCGGCTAAAAAATTGTGAAAATTTACAGCACTCAACCGTTCTTAACAATTAAATAAGAGTGAGTGGGAATTCCGTAAGTGTCCATAGCTAACATGAAATCTTGTGGCCCAGAATACAGCGTACACGAAAGCAGGGTGGGGGGTTGTAAAGGAGCGTATATGAGATTACAAAAAATGCCAAAACGAGTCAATCCAGCTAAATACCAATCGCCTCTTTGCCACTCAAAAGTACTTTGAAAGCCTTTGCTGATGGCAGCAGTAATGCAAAAATATAAACCAGCGAAAGCATACCATTTTGAGAGTTGTAAGGGAATAGATAGTTAAAATTCTGAAACGGCGTGATCGCAGTTTGTAGAGATGCGGAGAGTAAAGGGTTGGGAACATTAAGTCTTGATTGCTGTTGCTGTTGCTGCGCCTTCGGTTGGAAAGCGTTGAACATCGTTAGCATTTGGGGCACCATTAACGTAGGACCTGTAGGTGGCTGAATGCTTGAAACATTGCCTGCAGCAGCCGCAGCAGCAGCAGCAACGGCGGCGACGGCAGTAGCCCCTGCACCGACATAGTGGCTTGTGCTCGGCCCAGTGACTGCAACTGTGGTCTGACGATTTGCTGTCGCCAGTGCTGCAAGGGAGAGTGGAATTGAAGAGCAATGCAAACAAGATTGCAGTGTATTGGAAGTGGTCAAAACATGTACCCTTCACTTAAAATGGACATTTCTGCCGTTACTGTAATTTTGATTTAAAACCAAGCACCAGCATTTCTAAGCCATCTCTGCAAAGAGAGTGTTGAGAAAGAAAATTAGACCACAAAGTTTATTGGTTCCCATTTGTTGCCCATCCTCTCCATCAGAGACATCATTCTTTGTTGGAGCATTGCTTTTAGGAACACCATAAGATGACATCATATCGTTATCAGAAGCAAAAATTAAAAGGCTTTTGCACAATTATTAATTGCTTTTTATAGCATACAGTTTTGCTCTTCCGAGTTGGGCAATTGGTCAAAGTTGAAGTTGATACTCACATCCACGTCCTACATTTTTGAAACCACGTTTGGAGAGGATCACAACTATTTAGCCGCACAAAACGCATACAGCATATTTAATAGAGGTTGGTAAAAAGTGGGTGGCAAAAATACGAAACATACGCATATTTTGGGCCGCATACTGTCGCTGTCTAAGCAATGTATTAGTATTGCTCATGACTTCTTTTGGAACAGCTTTCTTCACCTCAACCTGAATGGAAAAATTGGTGTAAAATACTTAAAGATGTCTACCAAATTGATTCCTAAACCCACCTTCTTGTTATTCACTGTGTGAAACTGTTTTTGGCAAACTATATCAGCCGCCGATTCAGTTGCGAAAGTGATGAACGCAAAGCCTACAAGTCACAAGAAAAAGTGAAGAAAACTGCACACATTTTAGCCACACCATGTCAAGCATGAAGGTGGAAGCTGCTCACCTCTTGAACGATTCGTTGCCCTATCGAACATCAGTTCGCAAGAGTCAATCTACAAAACCATTAACTTGTGGTGAAACCAAAATCAACGCTACTTTTGCTAGTTGTTCATGCATGACTGGAAGCGATGAGGACTGAGTGTAGTTAACCTGTTCTACTCACGTGATATTCCATGGAACAAAACAAATTTAAGACTGCTTCTACTTAAGAATAAAATGAATGAATTTCAGCTACGTACACAACAGATAAATCTAGCTATTCTTAAGCAGAAGAGATTAATTTCCGCTTTTTAACAATGCGGATGCGCAAAATTCCGTGAATTTCAGTTCAAAACACTAGGGCTGCTAGGACGAATCTGAAAAAGACATTTGCTTCTCCTTGTTATTATGGAATGGCCTAATAAACTGCTAGCTATGGAAAGCAGCGCTCCGGAACCTCAGTAAAGCGTAGTTTTATGGTTACTTTAAATTCCATGTAATTCCAGGGTTTAACGAGGCAAAGATATAGTAATGTTTTGTCCTCACGGCTGACCCAACCCGGTTATTAATCCTTTGAAAAATCGCTAAATTACAACTAATATGCTCTAAATGTAAACGCATTGCACTACGGTATTCGCAAGATGTCTGTCTCCCACCTAATTTGTATGCACGGCACCTGAAAGCGGACAAATTGCAATCAGAAACAGTAAAGTGCCAAATCAGTGCGATAGCGCATTCAAATAAAGGCACGATGGCGGTATGCGGCACGCTTCTGCGATGTGGTCTGGTTGAATAGACTTGACCACTTGAAGTTTATACTGCAAGTGATAGCACGCCAATTTGAGTATCAACCGTGATTTGCTATCATTTTAAACTACGCTATTTAGTGGTTTCACTGTAAAAAACAAACTTTTGAGAAAGCATTGGACTGCATACAAAATACATTGAAAGCTTTTTGATATTCCACATTAACACCTAATTTAAGACAGGAAAGTTGAAAAACGTTAGCCAAACGAGTACAAGTGAGATCGTGGCATCACTCCCATAGAGTCGCAGTTTGCTCATCCCATGCCATGGCATCCAAGCCTTAAAATCGCAAAGGTAGCTTATTTGTCAGCTGGCAGCGACTTGCGATGCGCACGTCATGCTGTCGAAACTCTGAACTGTGCCATCTCTCGCCTAAACGATACTTGCGTGCTCTATTTGCCCAATGTCCCATTTAAAGTAGAGTTTTGGCACAATCCCTATGACAGTTCCTGCAGCTAGTCGAGCAAATAACAACCGACTTCCAGAAAGAAAATGAGGAATCACTATGTGGTGGTAGACGTTACGCAAAGTTCAAATCACCTGATTTGCCGAAAATTAAGTGCTGATGGGATATTGCTGATTTGGTTGGCCGTGTATATCTGCATACGATTCCCACTTTCCTGATGCCACGAAGTTCGTATCTTATAACATCGGGAGTGCGAGCAACAGAGAAGAGTTGAATAGTAGTTCTAAACTGCTATTTTATGGACTAGTCACCTCAAAAAGCCTTAGCGTGTAATTTTTCCAACAAACACAGGCCCTGAAATCTTGAAATAAGTTTACTCACACTTGGGTTCGGCTTTTGCATTCTTAAGTGTTGTTGGTGAACTTTCAAGCTTCCCCGAAATTGCCATCAGTAGCGGTTCGGCAAGTTGCAAATTATAAGAAAATATTACGCGCTTTTGAATATTTGGACAATTGATGGTTAAAAACTATGACATGCAAGTACGGACTCGAGTAGTGAAATGATCATGGCGTTTGAAAGTGTGTGCTTTGTTAAAACAGCAGTTTCAGAACGTGGACACGAACACAAATATCTAGTAGCCTGAGCTACATGACATATAGGGATACAAAGTAAGCCGACTACTCTAATCTAATAAATTTACATCTGAAAACGAATTACCATGCGACCGTTGCGGCCTGCGCAAAAAATACATAATTAACATTTAAGAAGCAATTATAATTGAGTTACAACATATTTTATAGGTCTAACAACAACTACTCACGTCTCCGTAGGTAGAGAAAAAGACTCTCAGATCATCTGCCGTTGTTGACGTAGAGATACCACCGATGAAAACCTTTTTTGTCCTCAATAGAGCCTGAGTTGCGATCAATGTGGCATTCATTGGAGAGGCGTTTAAAAGAGTAGAAACAGGCACACCGTCAATCGTTCGCTTAACGCCAGTGCCTTTTGAACTTGATTCAGATACCGATTTCATTGCCTTCCGAAATAGAACGATTCACCTCAAATCTATAGGTAAATCTCGTGACAGAGCCTAATGTCCAAATCCAGGTAGCACTACCTAACCATCGTTTTTAAGCCACCGAGGTCACGTAGATTGATTTGTTCGTGCGGGCGTGATAGCGAGCGTGACACGACGAATCGAATGTGTTCATGGCGCCGGAGGGTCGGGTCACGGTGCGTGTGTAAGCCTTTACACATCTGATTGGTTAATGGTGAATGCGTGCTTATCTTCGAGCCTCAAAGCATAACTGCGGGTGAATGATGGTCTCCTGTACTCTTGCACAAACTACGAATTACAAATAAAGTTAATTCTTTCAAAAAATTTTGGCTCCAATCAATCAGTGTGGCGCAAAATTTTACGTCATAATTCATCCTGCAGCAGTATTAACGGTATGAGGTTTTGTGCTCTTGACAAGTTTCGCGAGGATTCTTCCACCTTTCTCCAACGGTCTTTTTAAGACATACCACACCATTAGATTGACATTTCGCATGTATCTGCACATTCTTAATACGTTCTAATGATTGTAAAATCGGATCAAACAATGGCTGCTATACCTGTAAAGTGGTCGACGCCTGCCAATGGTCACGGTTAGGTAGAAAGGAAAAACGGCGACTCATAAATCCTCCCTTAAGCTGGTGATATAGCAATCACTAAACTCAAAGTCCTTCCGATAACCAAACCAATTTATCAAACAACATAACAACATATTTACAAAGGCCATAATTAATGCGAGTTACTTGAAGACACTTCATTGCTAACTTACATTCGTTAGTGCTTTTAACGTTGTCTGCTTTGGAACCGCAATCTTTGGTTCTATCTGCAGATTGAGGAAAATACAAATTCAACAGTCATGTATTCCAATGGTTTAATCGTATGGGGGCCATGAGCGATAATGAAGTTGTCATGGCGGGGTACATGTACCAAGCATGCGAGTACACTCCAACTTTAAATTATGCCCCTTTAGATTTTGTATCGCATCCGATTTTCTGCTTGTCATTCTTAATCAAGTACTTCAAAAACCGAAACTTAATGTGAGAATATCAGTTTCCTTCAAATGGCAGTCAAACTGTTGCCCGGGTAGCCTTCAGTCCACTACATATGTGTGCATTCTAGTTGATACTTGAGCATAACAAAGGCTATGGCAAGAACGGAAATGGGCGTGACTTGAGATAGTCCCTCTAAAAAGAAACAAAAGCCTCACCCACCTTAAATCGCCATAGAAAATGGTTGTAAGTAAAGCGGAGGAACAAAGGGGAAATGTAATTGAGCAAAAATAATTCCTCACGTTGAAACAGTCACTTTTTGGGATAGTGGCTATAGACCATATTAATAAACGTAAACTATGTTGTGCTAATAATTGAATTATTTACTAAAAAGGAATAGCAAATTAATGCGAATTTCAACTTCACGCTTTATAGGTATGCCGTAAATTAAATCGTCTTGTGCCAGAGTAAATAAGTAAGCAAACATTTAAAATGCATTCTCAAATTCGCCTTCCGTATGAGGGCGGTAGAGGCATTACTTTTGGCAGGATCTTTATAACCAGGTGAGGAGATTGCAAGCTCCAGTGTGCTGGTTACCATGACTCATAATTTGTTTGCATTTTACTCCCTTAGTATTTCATGAACCAAGGTTACTTCATTAAAGAAGATGAGTTTATCTTAATGCTAAGTTTGTATAAATGCAGATACCCGGAATCGTTGGTTAGTGCCGCTTGAGTATGATGCAAAGTATTAACACTCCTTATCCTTCTGCTTTTAGGTGAAGGCATTAAGGAAGTACCCCGTGGCCAAAGTACATGCCTTCCGGGTTACGGATAAGGGATAATGCCGCACATTACTTCTTTGAATTATGCAGCAAAAGGCGCGAAATCAAGATGCTGATTACATGCTTTGTTGTAGCGAATGGGTGAAATTCGGGTAAATGCAATTCCATAAGATATGGGACATACCCGCTTCGAATCTATGGTGTGAGGAGCATCATTCAGAACGTTTTCAACCACACTTGGGTCAACAAAGGTCACAAATCCAAATCCTCTGTAACATGAAGCGCATGATAAGTTAAGTACAGGTTATATTTATGGGAAAAGCTTTAAGCATGTATGCATGCAATAAACAGTTTTTGTAAAAATGTTCCGCAGGAAAATCGGTCATTGCAGACCAGCAATTGCATCATTTTTAAGCTACATAAATACAATGAGTTACTAACTCCTTCTACTGCTATTCCACAGCAAATAAATATGGATATATGTAGTCTAAACTCAAAAAATGCCTTAGCGACAAGTTTTGCAAATATTTACCACAGATTTGCGTGAAACACGTGTTATGTGCACGTTTAGCGCAAGAGATTGGTTGCATTGAGTTAGATTTTGCCAAACAGCTGTTTTACAGGCCGGTCCGATAGACAATTACGGATGACGTTAAAAGAGGTGTAAGGGCATAATTTATCACGACGGGTCAGGTCACATCTAAGTAAATGCGATAAGCAATGGGAGTGAAGGACATTACTCTATACTGGTGTACTTAATCTGGTTTCTCTTCCTCCCTTCTCTGCCTCCTCCTTTCTGCTAACGTTTCTTCCTACTGCTTTTGCTGCTCTTACCCGACCAAAGTAAATGCCTCTTTCCACACGCTATGGCCGGGCTTGCGGGAGCGCGCTTGGTGAATTAACGGAGCGTGAATAAACTACTGAGCTTATAAAAAAAGGAAAATATTGCGGAGCGGAAGAGTCGACGTTAAACTTCATATGCGAAGAACACTTTTAGTGTTGTGGGAGCGAGAGCGTTTTCTACTTGCCGAAGCTGAACTACGGTCCATTTCAAAACATATTTTCCATTGGAAATTAAAAGACTTTAAATTTTACAATCATGGCGACGTTACGAAGCTCAATGTCTGCTAATAAAACGCGACCATGAGCATTATTAGTTTAGTGGGTTCGCTTAATCTTCGTGCTTCAGTGCAGCGTACCCATGTAAGTCACCGTTTCCATCATCTGTTTGGCACTGCTGAGAAAGGAGGGTGGATTTGATTGAATGAAAGTAGCTTAACCTCATGATAGTAGCTTAAACGGTTACCATCAAATAATGGCCAAAGCAACGGAAAACTAAAGGATAAAATTTCTTTATCCAAAACGAGCATCTGCTATTGCCTCCATTAAAAATGAAAATCTCCGCCTATGTGTGAGGATTTGGACTCATTTGAAGCCACAAAACCGTGGTGGCTGAGAAGAATTTTCTACCCCATACAACACAACAGCTACCTAACCCGTAAACAGCTGCGCTGTCACAATGCAACAGGACTGAACTTTGCTGCTACTACTTCAGAGATCGCACTAGATGGGTTTCGGGCTATGCGTAAACGGCGAACGAGAACTCATTAGTTCATAAGTTTTCATGTGTATTTTAACACCGTAGCTGATATAGCAAGAGATAAAAGCGGGTGTCCAACAGATATGTGCCAGAATAATCACTTTTCCACGTATTTGTAGACACAGGTCCAATACATTTGAGCTTCAATGCATACATTATTAAGGAAACCACTAAACAACTGAATAACTTTGTCCTGCTTACGTGTTCATCCAACGCGTAAAAATGGGCAAAGACTCACCTGCGTTGTGCAATGGCAGTTATAAAAACCGATTGTATTACCACGTTGTGGTGAATCTCACATTCAAGCATTTTATGCACACTTATTAGTTTGTATCAAGATATCTTAAAAAGATGAGATGTTGTAATGCAATGGCAAAAGTTCCGACTTTGGACATTTGCTGCATCATCAGTGTTAGTAGTCAGACAGTGCTCACACGTGAACCGTTTGCTAAAGGATGGACTCTAAATCATACAGAGAAATCCATAAGATCAAAATGAGCAAGACATTTTCCTCTGCCGAGTTTGCAGGCAACAGACAAGTGGCTCAAAATACGACAAATCGTCTTCTGCAACTAACTGTTCAAGGTGATTGACCTTGATTGAGTTCTGGCGCTCTGTCTACATTACAGAAAAGTGTGTAGCTTTAAAAGTTTGCCGCAAATGTAGGTTACTTCCAAATGTGATTTAGTTCTTTCTAAGATACAAACCAACGTTATTTTAAATGCAAAAACGATTTTTTATGACATTGAAACATGATTAATGGCTGTCTAGCCTCACAGGAGAGTTTAAATACACTAAAAGGAGAAGGCGCTGAGACTTAAGCATAGCTGCAGATAAAAAAGCGTGCGGGAATTTGTTTTCCTTTTAAAACATGAGCGTGGAAGATTGGAGCAAACCAATCTGAGCTGTAGGTAATTCGGTCTCAGTGAGATGATTTACGTACAACTAAGTGCATTTTAATCAGTTGGAAATGCTCAAAGAAATTTTAACAAGAATACCTTAGTGCATGCTGCCTTCTTGCCTAGTTAGCTTCCAACAATGGCTGTGTAAGCAGCATCGAACCTGCCCTGGTAGAAGATCGGAGCGATGTGTTTTGTACTGTTTGTCAAACGTGTGTTCAATACCACTTTTGGTTCATTAAGCCAAAATCATTCGCAGCAAGTACTTTATAAAATAAACATAGTGCTCAAAGATATCACTCGTCATGAAACTCGGGAAATGCGTAGCCCACGTAAATGGAAAAAATTGAAGAGGCAATACTGCAGCACCTAAAACTTCGATTATGTTCCTGAAATGTTGAACTGCGCTGCGATGCTTTGCTGATGCTGCACAAAAGGTTTGCTGATTCAGCACGGAAGAGTGAATTGTTGGGCGTACCTTACCATTTTTATGAATTGCATTTTTCAGAAGAGGACAAATTCCCCTTGGCTAATTCTAACATAATCGTGTTAGTCTAAAACAATCAAGTTCCGCAACGTTTAAGGAGCTGTCGAAATTGAGCTTAAACGACCCATAAAAAACCAACAAATAGGAGTTCCGTTTGGACTAGCTCTGCGTAGCTACGATAGTGAAAGTTGCCACTACGCATAAGTCGATTAATTTCTGCCTTCTGTTTGTATAGCACTTTCGAAATCAGTTCATAAGTGACTGCAATTTGTACTTTTATAACAAAGAGATCTAGCATTCTAAAACCCCACTTTACAAAGACTTACAGCTAAGTATTTACGCAAATCTTGAAAAAGTGACGGATCTTTAAGTTCGTGGGCGAAATCTCCTTTAAAAGAAAGCATGAATACAGTGACGCAAACTGAATCTCACGACGCATGAAGCCCAAACATCAAATTAAAATGCATTTAAGCAAACCATGTTTACAGAATGCAAACAACCAAGTAAGTAACAGGAGCGTAAGTGTGTCAAGATGCTCTTAAGAGTTTCATTGCGATCTCAATCGTGCGCGATTGCGGTGTGCGTTCAGCATTCATCATCATTTCGCTTCGGTTCAAGGCTTACTCGCATTCGATATTAACCAATGCCATTTATTTTAATTTTACATATATAATGCAAATTAATGGGACCAAACACACTTAGTTTCTGCAAAGATCAGTCGTATCCGGCTTGATTTTACATTTGGAGTTACAAATTCTGTCAAAAGGTGGTCATAAAGTCAGAGGCCCCACAACAATACAAAAGTACTATTTGTGTAAGGAATGCAATTCGAAAGCTTTTCTACATTGTCAAAAGCACTACGGTTTCTTACCGAACGTTTCATTTTCAACAAAAGTCCTCAGGAAATGGTATACAGTGCAACAATGCATTACAAGTGCTGTTTGCTGATTAGCGGTTGACTATTTTGGGATTCCTGTTGGAGCATTTGAGGATATGAAGGTTGGCAGTCACTTTCAAACATCAATTTGCCTCCCTCGATTTCTTTCATTGTAACAACTTAATATTGCACATCCGTTGGTAAATGAGCGAATTTGACGCGTTTACAAGAAGTATGGCGAAGAAGTTTGAGTTATCGCGACGGTTGATATTTAGATCCGCTAAACACTCGTATGGCATATAACCTTAAACAGCACCAAGGAATAATAGAATGTTTGCAGTAGCGCCTTCATTTGGAAGCTTTGAATTGCTAAAAACTGCACGACAATTTGAAATAGCGCCTATGTTTGTTTAACTTATTGTGCATACAAATTTAACTGGACACAAGCAACACTCACCGAGATTTCTTGGTAACAATGTCTCGCATAATCAAAGAATTCTTGATTTCGCCATATTTTCGAAAGTAGAACTTCAGTGTTTCTAAAGGTGGGGAGAAAACACATTTACCATAGCGCGCTAGTGAAGATGATTGAGAAGGAGACAATGCTGAACCGTAAGCAGTAGTTAAGACACCTACGAAGTCCATAAATAACAAAACAATTAATAGAAGTGGTCCAACTCCCTTTCCACTGATGCACAAATCCAAATCGTGCAATACGTTAGCGTGCCAGGATAAAAGGGAATGTATTTTTGCAAATCTCAAGTCAGTAGTTTGTCATTTGCCATCTAGCTTTTCAATATGTAAAAGCTTTATTGCTTCAAGTGAGCACGCTCCACTCCAATTGACACCCACATGCGATGTAATAAGGCTTTAGAAATTTGAGTCTCTCCGAACTGCATATATTCTTGCGAGGTAAATGATTGTTAGAGCTGAATTTTCACTACACTCTAGTCATGTTTTGGTTGCTCTTAAACTGGGCTGCTGCAAACACCAAGTACATTGGTAAAGCTAGAGAATTCCTCCATTTCACATCGGAAATTCTCTTCTAGCAGATGATGGAGAGCCCTTAAATATTTGGCTAGCATGGCAACCGCCTCAGTAGGTTTCTGTAAGCGTTATTCACTTCTCGAAACAGAGCACTCATTGAAGTAAATCGACCAAGAAAGGGTCATTCTTTGTGACATTTAACATGATTTGGCCGGTGAAGTGCAAAGTGACCACATAGCCCAGCAATACTAAAATGGCTAATTGTATTTAATTGAAGGGAATTACAAAGGAGAACTGGATTTCAATGAAAACTTTAAGTGGATAATAACAGAGGCATCCGAAATCATTCAGTGCTTTGCTATGAAATCATCGCACCGGTAAGGCTGAAGTCATGAGGGTAGACAATCAACAATTTTGAAGAACTTATAGTAGAAATCAGATCTTTTAATTCAACAGAAGGCTAATGCCGTAATGAAAGTGAAAGTGTGTAAGCGAGTAATTCATTGCGTACGATCCCAAGCATTAACTTTCCAATGGGCCTCAATAGAACTTTGCATTATATATAGCCTTGACAAAGATTCGACAGTACTCCCTGCATTACAAAGTATAATTAACTTGCACAAATTCACAATGGCTAGGGAATGTGAGTTGCCGAGCCGATAGCACATCCTTCAGGGTAGAAGGCAATACATCAACAAGCAACATTTACAAGGTATCTGGACTTGATGGAGCAGCTTTTGTTTAGCTAGCCCTTCCCGTTTAAAAAGTGCGAAAATCTTTTAACAAGTTGCTTTACAATGAGTAAGGGGCAGGAGCCTTAGCCGTTCTCACAAATGAATAAATTATCCATGAAGAAGATAACTTCTTCATTCCTTTTAAAAGTGACATTGTAATAAGAGCGAAAAATATGTCCTCATGAACATACTCTGACCTTTAAGGCATAATATAATTTCAACATCGGAATCCTAATTCTTAGAAGATGATTAGAATTTCCAGTTAGTAAAGGAATCGCGAAAATTTAACTAAGTATCCAGCGGTCTCTTTGCTTGTCTCCTACCACATGCGATTCAAGCGTTCACAATTATTGTCGTAGATATTCCACCGTGTTTGAAATTTGATTAACAAAGCAAACTCTCTGTCTGCACGGATGACAACGTCAGCAGGGCAACGGTTTTAGACTTACCGATTGTAGTGGATGGGTTTAGGCCACCAATAAAAATTTTCCTAAAATAAATAGAAATTGGGTAATCTCACGTCATTTGCAATTTTTATGGAAGAAGTAGGCTTTTTAAAGGCACTGACATTGTGTCCTCGATACGGTTGTACGGAGCTTAATACTGCAGATTTAATGCA